AACATGAACAGAGTTAAGAAAAAGACCTTAATCCTAACTTCTACAAACCTATGAATACAGAATCAACCCCTTCAGTGCTAAGTTCAAGAAGTTCAGTGAATAGAATAGAAACAATATTTTTCTGATTGTTTGGAGTGGAATAGATCTGCACAAGAAGAAAGTGAAACTAAGTGTGAGGAGGAGGGTGGCTGACAGTGTGAGGAGGAAGGGGCTGACAGTGTGAGGAGGAAAGGGGCTGACAGTGTGAGGAGGAAAGGGCCTGACAGTGTGAGGAGGAAAGGGGCTGACAGTGTGAGGAGGAAAGGGGCTGACAGTGTGAGGAGGAAGGGGCTGACAGTGTGAGGAGGAAGGGGGCTGACAGTCTATGTTTCTTAAAATTATATATATTTTGTTTAGCCAAATTAGTTACCAAACATGGATGTTTAAAGCAAATAATATATGCTGGAATGTTATTGTTTCAGTTGAATAAATCTATTTAAATTGTTATTATTAAGGTAAAGATTATTTTTCTCCTTCCTAAGTACAACAGAAAAGTTGTCCAAATATGAATGATTAACCTATTAAACTGGGGATAAAAAAACTAATATGAAAAGTTGTTATTCTAAAAATCTTCATCTACTTGCATATTAAAGTTATTACCAGCAAGAATTAGTCTTTATGTAGAAAACTAGGATTTAAATCAAGCCCTTACTGACTAGTGATTTAAATCGTGATTTAAATCAGTTTGATTTAAACCAAATCCACCCTGGCGAAGACCATGTGCTCAATTCTCACAGTGGCTTTCCACGCGTAAGTGAAAATAAGTGCACCCCAGGGAAGACCAAGTCCCAGGGGCACAGCACAGCGGATCTCTCTGCCTTCCCTGCCCATGGTCAGACAGTGGCTATAGACTCATTCAAAATCAGGAGGCACTGGGCCCCTCCAGTCTTTCTGGGGGAATTAATTTGAATGTTATGTGACCTGACTGATGATCAGGGCTCTCTCTCTCTGCTTTATATATAGTGACCTGACTGATGATCAGGGCTCTCTCTGCTTTATATATGTGACCTGACTGATGATCAGGGCTCTCTCTGCTTTATATATGTGACCTGGGCTCTCTGATGATCAGACTGATGATCAGGGCTCTCTCTCTTTATATATGTGACCTGACTGATGATCAGGGCTCTCTCTCTCTCTGCTTTATATATGTGACCTGACTGATGATCAGGGCTCTCTCTCTGCTTTATATATGTGACCTGACTGATGATCAGGGCTCTCTCTGCTTTATATATGTGACCTGACTGATGATCAGGGCTCTCTCTCTGCTTTATATATGTGACCTGACTGATGATCAGGGCTCTCTCTCTGCTTTATATATGTGACCTGACTGATGATCAGGGCTCTCTCTCTCTGCTTTATATATGTGACCTGACAGGGCTGATGATCAGGGCTCTCTCTGCTTTATATATGTGACCTGACTGATGATCAGGGCTCTCTCTCTCTTTTTATATATGTGACCTGACTGATGATCAGGGCTCTCTCTCTGCTTTATATATGTGACCTGACTGATGATCAGGGCTCTCTCTCTGCTTTATATATGTGAACTGACTGATGATCAGGGCTCTCTCTCTGCTTTATATATGTGACCTGACTGATGATCAGGGCTCTCTCTCTGCTTTATATATGTGACCTGACTGATGATCAGGGCTCTCTCTCTGCTTTTATATATGTGACCTGACTGATGATCAGGGCTCTCTCTCTGCTTTATATATGTGACCTGACTGATGATCAGGGCTCTCTCTCTGCTTTATATATGTGACCTGACTGATGATCAGGGCTCTCTCTCTGCTTTATATATGTGACCTGACTGATGATCAGGGCTCTCTCTCTGCTTTATATATGTGACCTGACTGATGATCAGGGCTCTCTCTCTGCTTTATATATATATGTGACCTGACTGATGATCAGGGCTCTCTCTCTCTGCTTTATATATGTGACCTGACTGATGATCAGGGCTCTCTCTCTGCTTTATATATGTGACCTGACTGATGATCAGGGCTCTCTCTCTGCTTTATATATGTGACCTGACTGATGATCAGGGCTCTCTCTGCTTTATATATGTGACCTGACTGATGATCAGGGCTCTCTCTCTGCTTTATATATGTGACCTGACTGATGATCAGGGCTCTCTCTCTGCTTTTATATGTGATCCTGACTGATGATCAGGGCTCTCTCTCTGCTTTATATATATGTGACCTGACTGATGATCAGGGCTCTCAGGGCTCTCTCTGCTTTATATATGTGACCTGACTGATGATCAGGGCTCTCTCTCTGCTTTATATATGTGACCTGACTGATGATCAGGGCTCTCTCTCTGCTTTATATATGTGACCTGACTGATGATCAGGGCTCTCTCTCTCTGCTTTATATATGTGATACCTGACTGATGATCAGGGCTCTCTCTCTGCTTTATATATGTGACCTGACTGATGATCAGGGCTCTCTCTCTGCTTTATATATGTGACCTGACTGATGATCAGGGCTCTCTCTCTGCTTTATATATGTGACCTGACTGATGATCAGGGCTCTCTCTCTGCTTTATATATGTGACCTGACTGATGATCAGGGCTCTCTCTCTCTTTTATATATGTGTGACCTGACTGATGATCAGGGCTCTCTCTCTGCTTTATATATGTGACCTGACTGATGATCAGGGCTCTCTCTCTGCTTTATATATGTGACCTGACTGATGATCAGGGCTCTCTCTCTGCTTTATATATGTGACCTGACTGATGATCAGGGCTCTCTCTCTGCTTTATATATGTGACCTGACTGATGATCAGGGCTCTCTCTCTCTGCTTTATATATGTGATCTGACTGATGATCAGGGCTCTCTCTCTCTCTGCTTTATATATGTGACTGACTGATGATCAGGGCTCTCTCTCTGCTTTTTATATATGTGACCTGACTGATGATCAGGGCTCTCTCTCTGCTTTATATATGTGACCTGACTGACTGATGATCATGATCAGGGCTCTCTCTCTGCTTTATATATGTGACCTGACTGATGATCAGGGCTCTCTCTCTGCTTTATATATGTGACCTGACTGATGATCAGGGCTCTCTCTCTCTGCTTTATATATGTGACCTGACTGATGATCAGGGCTCTCTCTCTGCTTTATATATGTGACCTGACTGATGATCAGGGCTCTCTCTCTGCTTTATATATGTGACCTGACTGATGATCAGGGCTCTCTCTGCTGCTTTATATATGTGACCTGATGATCAGGGCTCTCTCTCTGCCTTTATATATGTGACCTGACTGATGATCAGGGCTCTCTCTCTGCTTTATATATGTAACCTGACTGATGATCAGGGCTCTCTCTCTCTTTATGCTTTGGGAGCCTGCTGCACTGTAAAAAACTGATGCTGGGAACTCTTACTCTGCTTTGTGTTGGAGCAGGCACTGACTGCGTTTAGTTAGTGGCTTTGGTGAGTATATGTAGTTTGTTTATAATGGACTTGCACCTGAACTGTATGACTGCACTGCTAACATGAGCCTGCTGCACAGTACAGACTGGTGCAGTACACCAAACAGATAAATAAATCCCATACTGTTGTACACTGGTACTGTACCTGGGGACTATACATGATGTACAGGTACACCTAGATACTGACCTGTTAGTACAGGCACTGACCTGCGTTTAGTACACTGGCTTTGGTGAGTATACATGTACACTGTTTGTTAGATACTGACTATGGACTTGCAGCCCTGACACTGTATTTGTTTGACTACTTCTTACAATGGTCTATCCTAGATCAGTCCTGCACTGCTAACACTGAATGCTATCACAGTAGTGTGGGGAGGAGAGGAGGTGGGTATCACCAATCATGAGCCTGGGTACTATACCTAGATACTGACTACTACATGAGCCTGTACACTGGTACAATACCTAGATACTGACTACTACATGAGCCTGTACACTGGTACTATACCTAGATACTGACTACTACATGAGTACACTGTACACTGGTACTATACCTAGATACTGACTACTACATGAGCCTGTACACTGGTACTATACCTAGATACTGACTACTACATGAGCCTGTACACTGGTACTATACCTAGATACTGACTACTACATGAGCCTGTACACTGGTACTATACCTAGATACTGACTACTACATGAGCCTACACTAGACTATACCTAGATACTGACTACTACATGAGCCTGTACACTGGTACTATACCTAGATACTGACTACTACATGAGCCTGTACACTGGTACTATACCTAGATACTGACTACTACATGGTAGCCCTAGTACACTACATGAGCCTGGGTACTACACCTAGATACTGACTACTACATGAGCCTGTACACTGGTACTATACCTAGATACTGACTACTACATGAGCCTGTACACTGGTACTATACCTAGATACTGACTACTACATGAGCCTGTACACTGGTACTACCTAGATACTGACTACTACATGAGCCTGTACTGGTACTATACCTAGATACTGACTGGTACTATATACCTAGATACTGACTACTACATACTACTACATGAGCCTGTACACTGGTACTAAAACCTAGATGCTGACTATGAGCCTGTACACTGGTACTATACCTAGATACTGACTACTACATGAGCCTGTACACTGGTACTATACCTAGATACTGACTACTACATGAGCCTGTACACTGGTACTATACCTAGATACTGACTACTACATGAGCCTGTACACTGGTACTATACCTAGATACTGACTACTACATGAGCCTGTACACTGGTACTATACCCTAGATACTGAGTACTACATGAGCCTGTACACTGGTACTATACCTAGATACTACTACATGAGCCTGTACACTGGTACTAAACCTAGATACTGACTACTACATGAGCCTGTACACTGATACTAGATACTGACTACTACATGAGCCTGTACACTGCACTGCACAGGGTTATTACATGAGTATGGACACTACATTATACACAGGTACTTACCATACAGACCAGTTTGTGATCCTGAGGTTTACTGTCAGTGGAAGTATCCGATGCATCCTCACCACCTCCAATCCTGTCATCGATGTCTCCGCTGACTCTGACAACCTCCACATGCAGACGTCCTGCAATCTGGAGAAAAAAAAAATACTATAAATTACCAAAAAAAAAAACCCCAAAAAACAGACGCAACCTCCATGTGCAGAAACAGCGGTGCACAGGGCTCATTCACATGTGTGTCTCTACTGCTGCCCCTCTGAAAAGCAATCAGTGGTGGCTGGCTTTTCACACAGTGTTTGACAGATAGCGAGGAGGTGATATGCTGCCTCTTCACCGTCTGCTTTAACCCACAAATTGCTGAGCAATATGCACTGTATGTGACTGCAGGGTGGCTAAGGCATTTCGCCATGGCCACGAAGCATGGCAGCTTGTGTACAGTCCCTGAGCGGCTGCATGCACTAGTTTAGGTGGGAAGTTGGGGGTAGTAATATCATGACTCAACTGCCTGGTATTACTGCCCCCCACCAAACAAGCGGCCTGCACTCCAATGACAGTCTTCTTCAAAAACTTTATTGTTCCAGGACAAGAACACAAAGAAGTCAGCCCAGATCAAGCCATAAGCTGGCCTTACAATTTCAGACCGTGGCTGCTTCTGATTGGATGTGGCTATTGGTCCACCAACAATTTCCTATCTGGCTCCGTGATTTTTAGATGGAAGGATGTCAAGCGGGAGGGTGCAGACAATGCCACTCATTGGGTGAAAATTCATCAGGAACCATCTGAAATTCAATTCACTCAGTGTAGCTGTACTCTGACATGTTTCACCGTAATCAGGCTCTGAGTGGAAACTTTCTTTCATATAGTGAGTATAACATGAGAGCTGCTCACAGGGGTATGTATACACAGTATACCCCAGTATATCTACCAATATGGATTTTAATATACACTATATTGCCAAAAGTATTGGGCCAGCCCTCCAAATCATGGGATTCAGGTGTTCCAATCCCCTCCATGGCCACAGATGTATACAATCAAGCCCCTAGGCATGCAGACTGCTTCTACAAACATTTGTGAAAGAATGGGTCGCTCTCAGGAGCTCAGTGACTCCAAGCGTGGTCCCGTGATAGGTTGTCACCTGTGCAATAAGTCCATCCGTGACGTTTCCTGGCTACTAAATATTCCACAGCCAACTGTTAGTGGTATTATAACAAAGTGGAAGCAACTGGGAACAACAGCAACTCAGCCACCAAGTGGTAGGTCACGTAACATGACAGAGCGGGGTCAGCGCATGCTGAAGCGCACAGTGCACAGACGTCACCAACTGTCTGCAGAGTCAATAGCTAAAGACCTCCAAACTTCATGTGGCCTTCAGATTAGCACAACAACAGTGTGTAGAGAGCTTCATGGAATGGGTTTCCATGGCCGAGCAGCTGCATCCAAGCCTTACATCACCAAGTGCAATGGAAAGTGTCAGATGCAATGGTGTAAAGCACGCCGCCACTGGACTCCAGAGCAGTGGAGACATGTTCTCTGGAGTGACTAATCATGCTTCTCTGTCTGGCAATCCGATGGACGTGTCTGGGTTTGGCGGGTAGTCTGAAGAATAGTATTTTCCTGACTGCATTGTGCCAAGTGTAAAGTTTGGTGGAGGGGGGGGGATTATGGTGTGGGGTTTTTTTCTCAGGGGTTGGGCTTGACCCCCTAGTTCCAGTGAAGGGAACTCTTAAGGCATCAGCATACCAAGACATTTTGGACAATTTCATGCTCTCAACTTTGTGGGAACAGTTTGGGGATGGCCCCTTCCTGTTCCAACATGACTGCACACCAGTGCACAAAGCAAGGTCCATAAAAACACGGATGAGTGAGTTTGGGGTGGAGGAACTTGACTGGCCTGCACAGAGTCCTGACCTCAACCCGATAGAACACCTTTGGGATGAATTAGAGCGGACACTGTGAGCCAGGCCTCCTCCCCCACATCAGTGCCTGACCTCACAAATGTGCTTCTAGAAGAATGTCCATGGGAAGGTTGGACCACCCTCCTAAACCCTGTGGACGGCCTTCCCAGAAGAGCTGAAGCTGTTAGAAGCGGGTCGATTCAATATTGAACCCTATGCACTAAGACTGGGATGCCATTAAAGTTCATGTGCGTGGAAAGGCAGGCCGACCAATACTTTTGGCAATATAGTGTATGAACTTCACCTGCTCCACACATGTATAGAAATTCAATGCAAGATAAAACACCAGCTCAATAGTACTTATAACAAGCAATTGAATTAATGAATGCAAATGGAGGCTCACAGGTGAGGAAGACATCAGGGTCCCCAATACAGGAGGGGCAAACTCCCCGCAGGGCCAAAAACAAAGATAACACAAACCTCTCCCTTCTGATTGATGATGGGGACGGCATACTGCAACTTCACATCATGGAACAAGGACTCCAGGAATACGTTGGCTACCCCGATGAGGCTGTGATTCTCCTGCTCATCATAGAAAGGATCTGCACGCCGGAAATATGACTGGCTTACCTAGAGAGAAGGAAATAAGTGGTGAGATGGGTCTAAAGGAACTAAAAACCCTGCCCCACGAATCAGTTCATAGCACAGTAAAGTTTTCCTGGAATAGAAGGTATTCATAAGTACCACTCCACCGTATATTCCCCCCCCCCCCGTAAAAAAGAAATAGAAAAAAAGGGCGGGGCCATGCAAATCTTCCCCCATTATGCTCCATCTGCTAAATGCACATCTAGAACAGTTGGTTTATAGTGCAAATATAGCTCAATGATATAATAGAGGACTTTATTCCACACTGCGTACAGCTGTTTCATGCTTTTTGGCTATCATCAGTGCAGAGTATGGAAAACATGGCTTCTATGAGATAGGCTTGGGATCCAAAAAGACAGTATAACCATACATATTAGGCTAGATTTGTTTTGCTCCATCTGTTTAAATGGTACAGAAAAACCATGTGTTGATCCTGCCAATCTCCCTCTCTTCTATTCCCCTGATGCTGAATCAGGACTCCATAGCTAATGAGAAGACAGCTCTCCTGATCAGTGCAGCTTCAAAGTATTAAATGATGTGTGGCTCGGCATTTGAGCAACTTGTTGCTTTGCTTAAGCCGAGCCATCTGCTGCTGCTATACCTGGGCTGTCTTCATGATCCCTCAATGACAGACATCAGCCAACCAGATACCCAGTGGTCCCCAGAGCATCCCGTATTTCCAGTGACCCTAGAGCACCCCCAAAGCATCCCATGGTGCCCAGTGGACTTCGAGCATAGAGAATCCCGTGTCACCCAGTGCAACCATTGTCACCCTGAACACACCGTAAAATCCCATGTCACCCAGCGATCCCCCAGTGCCCCCCACAGCATCTTGTGTCCCTTAGTGCACACCAGAGCATCCTGTGCCCCCCCCAGTAACACCAGAGTAGTCCATGTCACCCATTGTACTCCAGAGCATACTGTGTCATTCAGGACACCCCTGAGCATCCAGTGTCCCCCAGTGACCCAAGAGCATCTCATGTCACCCAGCGCACCACAAAGCATCTTGTGTTGCTCAGTGCACTCCAGAGCATTCTGTGTTCCCCAGAGCACTCCATAGCATCCTGTGTCAGTCAATGATCCCAGAGCATCTCATGTCACCCAGCGAACCCCAAAGCATCTCGTGCCACCCAGCGCACCCCAGAGCATTCTGTGTCCCCCACAGCACTCCATAGCATCCTGTGTCAGTCAATGATCCCAGAGCATCCTGTGTCATCAAAGACACCTCACTGAATGCTCCTCTAATTGCAGGGTCTGTCCTTGCCTCAGTTTATTTATTTCAGGTACTTCTATAGCTCCATCAATTTACACAGCGCTTTTACACACATATATATTGTACATTCACATCAGTCCCTAACCCTCAAGGGGCGTACAATCTAAGATCCCTAACTCACATTCATACATACACATACTAGGGCCAATTTAGACAGGTGCCAATTCACCTACCAGCATGTCTTTGGAGTGTGGGAGGAAACCAGAGAACCCGGAGGAAACCCACACAGGCACAGGGAGAACATGCAAACTCCAGGCAGGTGGTACAATGGCTGGGATTTGAACCAACGACCCGAGTACTGCCAGGTGGAAGTGCCAACCATTTAGCCAAGTTGATACAGAACCCAGTCCCAGCCCCTGACAGCCAGAAATCTTGTGAGCTGATAACTTCCTGTGATCTCTTCCCATGCTGCACTATTATCAGTTACATTGTTCCCAGATATCTCTGAACTACACATCCTATAAAAAGGACTGGAAGTTTCCTAAATTAAGCCATGACATTCAAGGGGTTGGGATCTAAATTCTGATCTTCAGAACATGGGAAACAAAATAAAGAAGAGTACTTCCACTTACAGGATTGTCCTCCTCACAAGCCTTCCATTCCTGATACAATTCTCTGATGTCCACCAGACGATTCTCCAGCTTCTCCAGGGACCAGATCTGTTTGCCTTTTCCTTTCCGCCTCACCTGGATGGCCGGTTCACTAAGCACCTCGTCCCGCTACAGAACAAAAGAAAGGGTACACATGCGACTTCAACTTCTCCACCTTCAACATTGACCATCTCTAACCAAAACATGTACTGTATCTCCCGTTTTACTGGAACTAAAGTTTTACCATTCACTCCTAGTACCAACTGCACATGGTAGTGCAGAACTTCCATTCAGATAGGATGCTTAATCCAACAAATAAGAGTTTAAGGAGTTAACCTCTGAGCTAAATCCTTAGGTACAAGTTGTCCTTAGGGCCCAGTTCACACCACATGCAGTCCAGTGCCGTTTTTTGTCTGCATCAAAAAAGCATTGATAGTAGGTTACATGGTGTTCAATGGCATAGTTCACACCAGTGCAGTCCGTTCTAGTGTGTTCCAGTTCCAGAAAAAAAAAGTAGAACATGCTGCATTTTTTCTGCACTGAATGGTACTGAAACGCAGTAAAAGACATAAAAAAAACACCGCAACATACCAAAGACACAATGGAACACACTTTTCCTTATTTAAGTTGAACAAAAAGAGAGTTGAAAAATGAACGTGTCAAAACACAACAAAAAAGCGCATACAGAAAAGCATTCAGAGGGCATCTGGACTGCGTTTCTATGGTGTGAACCAGCCCTATATCAGATTTTTAGAGGTAACACTCTGTTGGCCTAGGTATTCTTGAAGGTCCCCAGAGTAGACCAAGAAATACAGAAAGGATAAGAAAACACCACACATATATGGTGAGTCCAGTTAATCTCTACAGGAGATCAGAAGAGAAAGCAACACGTTTCTGGAGCTTAATACTCCTCCTTCATCAGGGAACAGAAATAAGAGAACATAAAAAGGATCCATTAAAAAGGCACATTTCAAGATGTCCTAATATAGATTGTGTTATAAATGATATAATAAACTGATTATTTTCTATAATGAAAATAATTATAGAGATAGGCGAGCGCCGTTCGGAAGGGACGGGCGATGGCCTCCGTTGCCCTCGACTGATCGAAAGGGAGTCGGGTTCAGATCCCCTAACCCGGAGCGGCGGAGGCGGGCGCCTCGCGGCGTCCAGTGCGGCAACGCGACCGATCCCGGAGAAGCCGGCGGGAGCCCCGGGGAGAGTTCTCTTTTCTTTGTGAAGGGCAGGGCGCCCTGGAATGGGTTCGCTCCGACAGAGGGGCCTGAGCCTTGGAAAGTGTTGCGGTTCCGGCGGCATCCAGTGAGCTCTCGCTGGCCCTTGAAAATCCAGGACGAGTAGGAAGGCCGCCGCGGTGGGCGCGGAAGCCCCGGGCGAGGGCCCGGGCGGAGCCGCCGCGGGTGCAGATCTTGGTGGTAGTAGCAACTTTGTGATGAAGGGGGAGTACTGAGCCCTTGAAAACCATTAGCTTTCCCTTCTGACCTAATGTCATGCCCAATAAAAGCATACAGGACTCACATTATATATGTGGTGTGCTTATCCTTCCATCATTCCCAAGTTGTCCTTTAAGGTATACCACCACCCCGCTTAAATGTGGCCCACCTGGAGAAACACTCATCTTCTTCCTCAATTCAGCATTCTTTACTGTGTGGCCCTTCCCAGAGCCACACAGACTTGTGTCATAAAACCCCCTTCTTCATCCTGCTGTATTCATTCCTATGGAGAGCCGTACTCATCGTGGCCTCCAAGGGGCCCTGCAGGGAATGGCTCACATGAAAGGAATGAATTGGGCACATGAGCTGGAGGGAATGCTGTACATAGCTTGCTGAAATGATCACAATACCCTGCCTCAGTACTCCTCTTAAAGTGGAACTATACTCCCCTCGGCTCCAGCGATGCGGCATCTCCACGCCAGGCTGCTGACATCTTCAGGCAGCTGGCTAATGGGTCTCGATCACTGGCTGCTTTCATTGGCTAGGTGGGGATGATGTCCCGCCCGCGCATGCGCAGGAGTTCTGTCAGATTCGGCCATGTTGATTTTGTACAGCAAGCTGAGCCTGTGTGGCTCATTGCATAGGGTCAGATAGGCAGGTAAGCAACTTTACTGCAGAAGAGGCAAAACATGTCTCTTCTGCATTAAAATTCCTGCCTGTTTTCCCATTTTTAATTTAGGCCTAAAGTTCCACGTTAAGAGACCTCAGTCCTGATGCAAGCAGTGGGAGGAGTTATGCTAATATAAAATAACTTTAGTAAATGGAGGGCGTGCCTAGTCAGACTATATTTGCCTGCAGATTGTCCATAGTAACGCCCATATCTGATGCTGAAAAAAATAAAATCCCATGAATGAAGGGATGGACCAAAACATTAAGGCTGGAGAGCAAAGGGCTAGGTGATGCTGGACCCCCTCCAGCCAGGTCTATCGGACTTGCTGCAGCTTCTAATGCACATTATGAGAAGCTCACAGTGTGCAGTGAAATCAGAGGAAGCAATATCAGTGCAGGATAGGAGCTAAAGGTCAGGTTTAAGTTCATCTGACAAGACTTCTGTGCCAGGAAAGTGGAACAAGCCACACAAGCCTTTGGGCAGCCATTCATCTCAGAGATAGAAATAAGAGCCCTGCACCCCAGGGTGCTGAATGAGCAGTCTGTCTTCCACCAGTCAGGGGGATGCAGGCAATATGCTGAAACAGGACCGCTCTGCAGTAAAGATAACCCACCATAATGGCATATTCTAAGGATGCAGAGACACAAGTATAAATGCCTACCTTATAGACCTTGTAGATGTCACCAATGGTAGCCCTGCATTTCTCTCGAGACAGGTTCACTTTTAAGAATGAATTGGAAAAGAAGCTGCCTACAATCAATCAGGTTTTATTTTGTATTCTACAAAGTTGAAAGAAGAATGTTGATGGCTGCTCTGGGTGACTGCTCCAATTGCTGTAAATCCTCCCCAACAAGTGTATGATGTTATTAGAATCCTCTAGGCCAGGGGTGTCAAATTCAATCTCATTGCAAGCCACATCAGCATTATGGTTGCCCTCAAAGGGCCAGTGGTATCTGTAAGACTGTAAGATGTCCAGAGTATCCCCCTGCCTTACATCACAGTGTACTACCGGGATGAAGCGGGGGTGGAGCTGGGAAACGGAAAGTACAGGGTCTGGAGAAGGACCAGAGGAATGCTGATGTCTGCTGAATGCTGAGACCAGGGGAAGCGGAGACTAGGGGGTGCTACGGTTGTACAGAGAGGTGCAGGATCTGTAGGAGTTCTGCCGTCCTCTCTGCTGCCGTCTGCAGAGACTTGGGAGGGGGGTGAGCAGAGACTAGCCTCTCCGTGGCTGCAAGAAGACAAGATCTGACAGAGGAGATCTGTCCTCCTCGCTGCTGCCTACTGCTGAGACAAGGCGAGGGAGGAGAAGAGGGGAGTGCAGCAGCTACAGGAGAGGTGCGAGGGCCACATGAAATAGGCCAGACACATGTGATCTAGGCATAGCAGGGTACACACCGGGAGAGGCTCACCTTTCTGTTGGCGTTGAGGCTAGAGGCCGGGATCTGCAGGGTGACTTTGTACTCCGTCCTCTTGTCCATCTCATCAGCAATGAAATTGGCCTCCTGGACGTACAGATTGGCCTTGGCGATTTGTTCCCTGAGCTTGATGAAACTGTGATGCAGCATCACTTCCCTGCAATAAAATATATTACCAACAAATAATGAAAAGGCCAGACATGAAGATCAATTTAACTCAGCCTTTCCCCACCAAGGTTCCTCCAGAGGTTGCTAGGGGTTCCTTGAGCAAAGAGCAAATCCTGCATCTCAGACAAGTTCCCACTAACACCAATGATCTGTTTAGCTATCTGTAAGGGATGATTCTTCCTATTGACCAAATGTAATGGTGGCCATACACACTTGGATTTGTTTTTTATCCAATTGATGTGCGATTCGATCACAACGATCCTATTCCAATGATCCATTTCTCAGCGTGTCACATACTGATGGAATGGGTTGTCAACTATAGATTAATGATACCCATTGGAAGAGATTGATCGGAAAACAAATTGGTCATTTATCAAAGCGTGTTCAGCAACCATAAGAAGCATTCTTCCCATTGGCCATCATACTAATGTACCACAAGCTGTAGAGTTAATATTGGCAGAGGTTCCCTGAGATCGCAAAGGCATTTCAAGCTCTCCTCCATAATAAAAAGACTGAGAATGGCTGCTTTAAAAAATACCAGGTATGGCCATTTTGACAGCTACATTGGTTCAGCTTGGACAAGTGCAAACATTCATATATCCCTGCTAGATTGTAAGCTCCAAGGATCAGGCCCTCCTAACCCTCTTGTATTGAACTGTATTGTTGTTGTATTGTCTCTCATTATTTTGTAAAGCGCTGAGCAAACTGTTGGCTCTATATAAATCCTGTATAATAATAATAATATACCATACCTGGCCAATGCCCCTGGAAGCTGGAAATCACTGAAGTCGGCACTGCTACTACAGTGATCTCCACTAGCTTCTGGGTCCCCTCCTGAGTGACTGCTTTGCTGCATTGTGAATACATGAGGTTGCCACATTCAGAGAATACTTTGCATTTAATCAATGAATGCAAAGCATTTTTTGTTTAGAAAAGATGGAGAGGAAGGGTAGTGATGTCATGCTATCCACCTTGTCCAATCAGAAAATGCTTTACACTTATTGAGAAAACACAAAGCTTTCTCTGAATGGTGTCACTGCTGAGCGGCAAAGCAGTCGCTCAGCACGGGACCCAGAAGCTAGTGGAGATCACTGTAGTAGCAGTGCCGACTTCAGTGATTTCCAGCTTCCAGGGGCATTGGTCAGGTATGGCATATTTATTTATTTCAGGTACTTATATAGTGCCATCACTTTACGCAGCGCTTTACATATATTTTTTAAATTGACATCAGTCCCTAACCCTCAAGGGGCGTACAATCTAAGGTCCCTAACCCTCAAGGGGCGTACAATCTAAGGTCCCTAACTCACATTCATACATACACATACTAGGGCCAATTTAACAGAACCAATATATGAATAGTCCATTGGTCTACATATAAAAAAAAAAAATCCATACCTGGAATTCTTTACAGTGGTTGTAAACCGTTACATATACGAAGTGAAGTGACTGGCCTCAGGTGATACACAGAGATGAAACAAATCCACCAACATAAGCTGTTCCTGTTTATCTACAGTCTTCTCTCCTCTACATCCATTCAAAATGCTGAATGTATTAAGCTTGACTTGAGAGTTCAGAAAAAAAATGGGGCGGAGAACTGAAATTACCGTCTGCAGAAATCAGTAAGGAGAGCTCTGAAAGCTGATAGGAGGAAAGAGAAACACCCCCCTTCACACAGCTCACAGGAACAGAGCTGAGGCTGTCAATCTGCTGAAGGTCCCTCCCGTCACCATTTTTCTCTTGGTGTCAGGAAAACTTGTCAGAAGTGATTCATGCTGATAGTAGAAAAAGGAGACAGCAGACAGAAATGACACAGTGCTGTGGATTGAGATAAGTACACACTATAGAGGGATATGCTTTGTTCATATTTCATGCACTTTAACTAATCACCCATATGTAACTTTTATGGCAAATTGCTAATTCCGATAGGTTATGATATTACTATAACCTTTTAAAACATGGTTTCTACCACCAGCGAGGTTCCTAGATTACGACATTCCTTTTATTCAAACACAAAAAAAAACTATATAATAATTTTGTGTTTTTCCATTATTCACGAATACAGGGAGGAAGATTTGAAACTGCACATTATAGGACTTGTCAGTGGTCTGGCTGGATCCATAAGCCGGAATAGACTTGTACAAGGTGGCCACCTAATGGACTATTGCAAAAAACGGTTTTAAGTGCTACAAGGGGAAGTCTATCATATGGTTACTGATCTAGGAGGGAGCTCGTATTTTTAGGGAGATATTCTCTCCTTAAAGGATAAGTTCAACTTTTGGGAAAAAGAAATAAATGCACATATTTTTCCAAAAAGTTAAATGTGCATTTATTTATTTTTTTTTCCTGGAAAGCATTGCACCAGCGATCAGTGGATCAGAGGGGCAATGTCAGACTCCTACATACAAGCCCTGCAGCTTTCAGCCCCTATCTTCATACGGGCTGACCGTTTACAAGCTGCAGGGCTTGTGAATGAACTACGAAGCTGCTCATCAGCGACCTCACAGTCCATTCAGAAGTACAAGCCGTCAGTCGCAAAGGCCGATGGTACTTGTAGTACAAGTCATTTACAGGAAACAATGAAAAAGGCGACCGTGTGGGGCAGAGCCCCGTATGGCTGCATTCTTTTCAACTAGTGACAGTGGGTGGCGGGAGAAGATTCCCATTCACTATCACTAGGAGGGGAGGAGGCAAAAGCTGCGGGTGGAACATGCTCCAAAAGGTGAACTTAAGGTGTAATTCCAGTCATAAGCTAAAGTCTACCCCCACCCCCATTGTAAACATATTCCATCTACCCTGTAAAAGGAAAGATGTCTATACTCACCTATTCTAAAGTTGTCCGGTCTTATGATCCAGTTCCAGCGCCAGCTTCAATGTAGAGGATGGACAACCACAAAAGGATATCCCATAATAAGCCTGTAGGGGATATCATCACACAGGCGATTGTTGGCACTCTCCCCTGAAGCCGGCACTGGAACCTGACCTGAATCCTCCTCCTTTTTCTGTTTTGCGTTCTGTTGCAGATTGGCTGCTGGCGCTTCCCCTTACATACCTGTTATCTCTATGAGAGAACAACAAGTATTGTACACCCAGCCTACGGCACCTCCCCATTTTTTTTTTCTTCTCTGATTTACCTACTCCTTACCTACTCTACTTCCCCGTTTCCTTTTTCTTAAAATCTCCTTTCTAATTTTCCTATGACCTCTCAGAATTTGGAGTCACCAATAGTTAAAGTGTTTGTAAACCTTTGATAGAACATATGAACAAAGTGTATCTCTCTATAATGTGTAATTGTCTCAAACCAGAGCACTAAGTGTCATTTCTGTCTGCTGCTTCATTCCTCTGCTTTAAGCATGAGCCACTTCTGACATGTCTTCCTGACACTAAAAGAAAAAAAATGATGGGGAGTAAGCTCCAGCACACAGCCTGTGATTAACAGCCTCAGCACTATTACTGTGTGCTGTGTAAAAGAGGGGTTGTGGCCCTTTTTTTCCCAATCAGCACAAAAAGCTCTCCTCACTCAGTGTAACTTCAGCTCCCCGCTCTCTGCTTTTCAGAGATTCTGTGTAAATTCTGGCCTTTGAGCCTGGATTCACATATATCCAGTGCGGTATATCGCATGTGATTCGCACAGGAACCGCACTGCATTCCTGTGCAAATCACATGCAATTTGTGTGTGTTGTGTGACTGGAGCCATACATTTTGTATGGCTCTAATCGCACCGCACCTGCACCAAAAACATGCAGGACCCTTTTTTTGGTCTGCACTAGAATTAGATCGCATGGGTATCCACACCTATGCGATCCGATTCTGCACATCACACTGCGTTTTGCGGACCGCTTTTGGGGGTGTTGTTAAGTTAACATACACACAGCGGTTCGCATGAACGGGGTACGATGCTGATGCAGTCCGAAATTCGCACACAAAACGCTGTGAATTCCGCAAAGCATCACTGTGAACCAGGGCCGAATGGATGTAGGGGGAAAGATGGCTGTAGATAAACATGTACAACTTATGTAGGATGACTTTTTTCATTTCTCAGTATCTCTGTGTATCACCAGAGGCCAGTCACTTCATTGGGTATATGTAATGGTTTACAACCCCTTTAAAAGAGAAGTATGCGACTCACAAACAAAATACATTTCTAAAAATCGAATGTTCGGTGTATTGTAACACTGAGAGACAGAAGAGCAACAAAAAATTCAAAAGAAATGCAACAAATGATGCACTGATTTGTATGTTCGTGAGGCAGTATTTGATCCCCTTCACAAAACATGACTTCGTACTTGGTGGCAAATCCCTTGTTGGCAATCACAGAGGTCAGATGTTTCTGTAGTTGGCCACCAGGCTTGCGCACATCTCAGGCAGGATTTTGGACCACTCCTCTTGGCAGATCCTCTCCAAGTCATTAAGGTTTGGTGGCTGACGTTTGGCAACTCAAACTTTCAGCTTCCTTCACAGATTTTCAATTGGATTAAGGTCTGGAGACTGGCTAGGCCACTCCAGGACCTTAATGTGTTTCTTCTTGAGCCACTCCTTTGTTGCCTTGGCCATGTGTTTTGGGTCATTGTCATGCTGGAACACCCATCCACGGCCCATTTTCAATGCCCTGGCTGAGGGAAGAAGGTTCCCACCCAAGATTTGAAGGTACATTGCCCCATCCATTGTCCCTTTGATGCGGTGCAGTTGTCCTGTCCCCTTAGCAGAAAAACACCCCCAAAGCAGAATGTTTCCACCACCATGTTTGACAGTTGGGATGGTGTTCTTGGGGTCATAGGCAGCATTCCTCCTCCTCCAAACACGGCGAGTTGAGTTGATGCCAAAGAGCTCGATTTTGGTCTCATCTGACCACAACACTTTCAACCTCATTCCTCCTCTGCATCATTCAGATGTTCAGTGGCAAACTTCAGACGGGCCTGGACATGTGCTTTCTTCAGCAGAGGGACCTTGTGGGCACTGCAGGTTTTCAATCCTTGTCGGCGTAGTGTGTTACCAATTGTTTCCTTGGTGACTGTAGTCACAGCTGCTTAGAGAACATGGACAAGATCTTCACGCATAGTTCTGGGATGATTCCTCACTGTTCTCATGATCATTGACACTCCACGAGGTGAGATCTTGCATGGTGCACCAGACCTAGGGAGACTGACAGTTGTTTGGTGTTTCTTCCATTTGCGAATGATTGCACCAACTGTTGTCACCTTCTCACCAAACTGCTTGGCGATAGTTTGGTAGCCCAGTCCAGCCTTGTGTAGGTCTACAATCTTGTCCCTGTGGACAAGTGTCTTTTATACAGGTAACAAAATGAGATTAGCAGCACTCCCTTTAAGAGACTGCTTCTAATCTCAGCTTGTTACCTGTATGAAAGACACCTGGTAGCCAGAAATCCTGCTGAATGATAGGGGATCAAATACTTATTTCCCTCATGAACATGCAAATCAGTTCATCATTTGTTAGACATGCATTTCTTTTGAATTTGTTGTTGCTATTCTGTCTCTCAGTGTTACAATACACCTACCATTCGATTTTTAGACTCATCATTTAATGTTTAGGGGTTCTAAGTAATTTACTAGCAAAAAATAGTGTCAGAATAGGCCTGGTCTTCAAATGGTTAAAGTGTAACTAAAGGAAAAACATTTTTTCTTTTTTGGGTAGAGTAAGGGTTATAACCCCCGTCAGTTCTTTTTGGCTAACTGGGTCCCTTTACTTTCTGGTCCCATAGCCAAAAACAGGAAGTGAGAAGAAATCACTTCAATGTGAGGGAATCCCTTTTTGTCGTGAGAACTAGTGTCCCCATTGGAGGATTTCCCATCTACAACTGTTCTGGTGTCAGCCCAAAATTCGGGATTTTCTTTTACTTTTACTTTCCAAGAGAACGGTAAACAGGACAAATAGAGAGGGAAAATTTCCCTAATGGGGCAAAGACAGCAATAAAAACCTGACAGGAGTTCTAATCCCTCTCCACTATATCCAAAACTAAACAAAAAAAATTGTTACACTTTAACAATTACAGATAGGTACATAGGAACCTCAGACTGTGTGATGCCGGCAGCTGAAGACATCGTCCCGGTATAACACTTCCACCATTTGTAAATGGCGAAGGGATGGAAGGTGGTTAACTCAGTTGCAGTGTTTTCCAGAAAACATTAGCAGTTCACTGAATTCACTTGTATCCCTGAATTGTTCCATGAAGTGTATGTAAACCACCCAACAATGATTTCCTTTTTTTCCTTCCTTTTGGCCTGCTAAATATACCATTGAAAATATTTTGTTATATCCATTCGATAAGTGAAAAAAATACAAAATGATCCTGCAAGAAATTGTGTTTATGAGATGAGAAGTAGAGGTGTTCTGTAGTCTTACCCTAGGGTGAGTGTTGTCAATCTAGGACAAAAACGTGTATTACTGGCAGGATAGCCAGGTGAAAATAAAAAAACAACTTGAAAAAAAGAAAACGAATGCAGCTAGCACATCTAAGGACTTGCAGGGATGTTGAATTCCTATCGTCCGAAGCTCGGGACACGTAGTTCTTGGCGCCTGGCAGGTAGTTTTTTTTTTTTTTTTACCTTCAGCCCTGCTGCAGGCAAGCAGCAGGGCTCACCCGTCAGGTGGAAGCATTCGGCGGCAGCGCTGCCGCCGATTGCATCCAGAGAGTGCTAGCCTCTCAGCCCCCCCAGGTGAAGCTCCCCCCGCCCACTGTCCCCCGGGCCCCGCTTGCCCATCTGTGGGCCCAGGACCAGCACACCGCTGGCAGCTAGAGGGGAGGGAGGAGAGCAGACATGTCCACTCCCCTCCCCTGATTGTCCTGACCCAAAAGTGACATTCTGATGTCACTTCCAGGTCCCCGTTGAGAGATTCCCAGCAATTGAGGCCCGGGAAAGAATGTAATGCAGTGCGATGCAAAACCCACTGCACTGCATTACATTCAGGGGAGCAGAGGGGAGACATACAGGGTCTCAATAAAGAGAACCTGTCAACAAAAAATCATCACATAGGGGACACTGTCCCCTATATGAAAAAAAAAAAAAAAAAGTTTTTTTCTTCTTAATTGTAAAAAAAAAATGAAAATTACACCCAAGCACACAACATCCCCCCCCAAAAAAGTTGACACCCCACACACATATACGCATGTACAAACGTAAAAGTACACGCTGGGGCAACATGTTACATATCACTGTGCACGCCAGAATGATAGCAATAATTCTAGAACCAGACCTCCTCTGTAACACTATACTGATGACCTAAAAGGGGCTTTAAAAGTGTCACCTATAGAAAATATAGGGTACTGAATTTTGTCGCCATTTTATGATGATGATGTCACTTCCTGGTCCCCATTGAGAGATTCCCATCAATTGAGACCGGGAAAGAATGTAATGCAGTGCGATGTGCACTGCATTACATTCAGGGGAGCAGAGTGGAGACATCCAGGTTCTTTTAGAACTTGGGTGTCTCAATAAAGAGAACCGGTCACCAAAAAATCATCACATAGGGGACTTTGTCTATTTACTCGCTGCAACCTCATCTTTAATATTTTACCAAAAAATAGGGTAATTTATTTCTTTTTTTTTTGCCCCAAAATTAACCAACTTGTATTTTTTACTGAAATTTTACTGTAATATCATGCGACAAAAAAAATTGGAACTACCACTATTTTATTCTCTAGGGTGTCTGATTTCAGAAAACATATGTTTGGGGGTTTTGTGTAATCTTCAGGCCTAAAATGATTTTTTTTTTAATTATGTGCAAAAAATGCAAAAACGACTCTGGCAGGGAAAGGAATAAAGGATAAGCCCTGACCCACCCTTTCCTGACAAGCACCCAATCAGTGCTCATTACACTGCAAGGTCTCTCTGCTCCATGCTAGTCCCTGGGTGCGGTGCTGGAGACAGGCAGGGAGGGGAGCAGGAGATAAACAGCGCAATTCAAACTACTCACTCTGACCTACAAAGCCATTCACAACACTGCCCCTAACTACCTCACCGACCTGATTCCCAAGTACCACCCTACCCGTACCCTTCGCTCTTCACAGGACCTCCTTCTATCTTGCTCCCTGGTCTCTCCTCCTCACACGCACGTCTGCAAGACTTCTCCAGGTCCTCCCCCATCCTCTGGAACTCACTACCCCAATCCATCAGACTGTCACCTTCCCTCCTCACCTTCAGGCGCTCCCTGAAAACCCACCTCTTCAGGGAAGCCTACCCCACCCTCACCTAACTGCTGCTCTCTCTTCATTCCTCCTACCACTCCATCCCCCACAGCCACTTCCTCCTGTACCACTACCCCCTCCCTCCCAGATTGTACGCTCGAAAGAGTAGGGCCCTCTTACCCCTCGTGTGCTGTTCGTAGCTGCTGTAATGTTTTCATGTATTGTCCCCCCCTCTATTGTAAGCGCTGAGCAAACCCTTTGGCGCTATATAAAACTCAATGTAATGTAATGTAATGTAATATGTTAAAAATATTACACGTTTAAGTCGCCATAAAACCCCTTTTGTTTTTAAAACATTCCTAATTATCACCTCCGATTTAAATATCATTGTGGTTAAAAAAAAAAAAAAAAATTTTTATCTGGACAAGTAGATTGGGACACCGATTTAGTCCCTTGGACAAGTAGTTTTGTCAAAAAATTTCCACACCCCTGACTTGTAGGGCGCAGTATAGTACATTTCTGTTTTGGGGTTTGATATCACTTGGATTGTACTTCTGTCAGTCTATGTCAATCCATCTGCTCAAGCTGTCTAAAAACCAAGCTGTCTTTATACAGCTCATTATTCTGATCTCATCAGATACACCGACCCCCACCCCAATACACATACAGAGGGAAGCAGCATTAAATGAATATGTGGATGTGGACACATCTACTGGTGTAATGAAGAATGGTGACACTATAAGGAAGTATAAGGGTAATAAAAAGCAAAATTTAAATCTCATATGGACAGATGTATACATGAAAATCAGGATGCAAATACACATTCATATACTGAAAACCAAGAGTTTCCATGACTGCAGATAGGATTTGTTTCTCCTTCTTGTAATGCCTGTGCCTCACCTCTCTTCTGTCCATTGTTTGATGCGCTGCTGGGCATTGGGGGAGCCAAAGGAGAACCTGTCTATGCTCCGATAGTGCTGCTTCTCTGGGGACAGCCTCCTGCGCAGCTGCTCTAGCTCGTGTTCGTACATCAGTCTCTGGCGTTCCAGTGCAGAGCGCTTTTCTTCTTCGTGCTGCTGCTCCAGGCTCTGCAGAATGGACTGCATGGGATCTATAGGGATAGAATCACAAGACCGCTCAGATTAAACAATCTATTGATCATTATTATACAGAATTTATATAGCGCCAACAGTTAGCGCAGTGCTTTACAAAATGAAGACACACAATACGGTTACAGTCATGGCCAAATATTATTGGCACCCCTACATTTCTGTCAGATAATGGACCACTTCGCCCAGAAAACTTGCAATTACAAATGTTTCGGCATTCTCGTGTTTCTTTCTTTTGTTTGTATGACACAAAAAAAGTGGAGAAACAAAAAGCCAAATCTGACCCATTCCACCCAAACCTCCAAAAGTGGACAGGCCAAATTTATTGGCACACTCAATTTAATATTTGGTAGCACACCCCTTGAAAAAATAACTGAAAATTAATGGCTTCCTGTAACCATCAATTAGTCTCTTCCACCTCTCTACTGGAATTTTGGAGCACTCTTCTTTCGCCAGCTGTGCCAGGTCTCTCAGATTGGAAGGGTTCCTTTTCCCAAATGCGGTTTTGAGATCTCTCCACAGGAGCTCTATGGGATTGAGATCTGGACTCATTGCTGGCCAGTTCAGTACTCTCCAGTGCTAAAACCATTTCTGGGTGCTTTTTGAAGTGTGCGTTGGGTCATTGTCCTGCTGTAAGACCCATGACCTCTGATGGAGGCCCAACTTTTACACACTGGGCCCTACAGCCATGATAAAAAGTTTTGATAATGACACAAATAATAATTTACCTGCAAGGAAACATGTGCAGTCATCATTTCTTTGCACAAAAAGGGATTCACAGACAAGGATATTGCTGCTAAGACTGTATCTACAGAGCATCCAGAAAGCATTCACAGCGCTTAACTTTTGCCACTTTTTTTTATGTTAAAGCCTTATTCCAAAATGGATTAAATTCATTTTTTTCCTCAACATTCTACAAACAATACCCCATAATGACAATGTGAAAGAAGTTCATTTTGAAATCATTGCAATTTATTAAAAATAAAAAAAAACATATGTACATAAGCGTTCACAGCCTTTGCCATGACACTCAAAATTGAGCTCTGGTGTATCCTGTTCCCACTGATCATCCTTGAGATGTTTCCACAACTTGGAGTCCACCTGTGGGAAATTCAGTTGATTGGACATGATTAGGAAAGGCATAAACCTGCCTATATAAGGTCCCACAGTTAACATTGCATGGCAGAGCACAAACCAAACCATGAAGTCCACGGAATTGTCTGTAGACCTCCGCAACAGGATTGTCTCAAGGCACAGATCTGGGGAAGGGTACAGAAAAATGGCTGCAGCATTGAAGGTCCCCATGAGCACAGTGGCCTCCATCATCCGTAAATGGAAGAAGTTTGGAATCACTAGGAATCTTCCTAGAGCGGCCCGCCTGGTCAAAATAAGCGATTGAGGGAGAAGGGCCTTAGCCAGGGAGGTAGCCAAGCACCCGATGGTCACTCTGAAAGAGCTCCAGCGTTTCTCTGTGGAGAGAGGAGAACCTTCCAGAAGAACAATGGCAACTCGTCTGGAGTTTGCCAAAAGGCACCTGAAGGACTCTCAGACCATGAGAAACAAAACTCTCTGGTCTGATGAAACAAAGATTGAACTCTTTGGCTTGAATGAAAAAGGTCATGTCTGGAGAAAACCCGGCACAACTCACTACCTGGCCAATACCATCCCTACAGTGAAGCATGGTGGTGGCAGCACCATGTTGTGGGGATATTTTTCAGCAGAAAGAACTGGGAGATTAGTCAGGATCGAAGGAAAGATGAATGCAGCAATGTACAGACACATCCTTGATGAAAACCTGCTCCAGAATGCTCTGGACCTTAGAATTAGATATTTCAACAGGACAACGACCCTAAGAACATAGCCCACATAACAAAGGAGTTGCTATGGACCAACTTTGTGAATGTTCTGGAGTGGCCCAGCCAAAGCCCAGACTTGAACCCGATTGAACATCTCTGGAGAGATCTGAAAATGGCTGTGCACGGACGCTCCTCACCCAATCTGATGGGGCTTGAGGGGTACTGCAAAGAAGAATGGGAGAAATTGACCAAAAATAAGTGTGCCAAGACTGTAGCATCACACTCAAAACGACTTGAGACTGTGATTGGTGCTAAAGGTGCTTCAACACAGTATTGAGCAAAGGCTGTGAATACTTATGTACGTGTTATTTTTTTTTCGTTTTTTATTTTTAATAAATTGCAATTCTTTCAAAACGAACTTCTTTCACGTTGTCATTATGGTGTATTGTTTGTAGAATGTTGAGGAAAAAAAAATGTAATCCATTTTGGAATAAGGCTGTAACATAACAAAATGTGGCAAAAGTTAAGCGCTGTGAATACTTTCTGGATGCACTGTAAATCAAACATTTATCGAATCATCAAGAGCTTCAAGGAGAGAGGTTCAATTGTTGTGAAGAAGGCTTTGTGAAAATGAATATTTGTGTCATTCTCAAAGCTTTTGGCCGGAGCTGTATATTGCACTCCAGAATTATTGGGTAGTCTTCAGATTTCATAATGCCAAGCACACAGTCAAGACATCCAGTGCCTGAAGCAGCAAAGCAACCCCAAAACATCAGTGACCAGCCCCCCCCCCCCCCCCCACCACCACCACCACGTGTGACTGTAGGGACTGTATTCTTTTCTTTAATGACCTCATTGCTTTTTTCAGAAAACAGAATGATGGGCTTTACCAAAACGCTGTCATTTTGTTTCATCTGTCCACAGCACATTCTCCCAAAAGGATTTTGGCTTCCTCAGGTAAGTTTTTGCAAATTCCAATCTGGCTTTTTTTTATCTTTCTGTGTCAGCAGTGGGGTCCTCCTGGGTCTCCAACCATAGCGTCCCTTTTCACTCAGATGGAGATGTATAGAGTGAGCTGACACAGTTGTACCCTGTGCCTGAAGGTCAGCTTGGATTTCTCTGGAAGTTGATGGAGGTTCTTTATCCACCAATCGAACAATCATTCGTTGCATAACAATTTCCTTGACCCCCTACACTCCACCGAAACCGCCCTACTCAAAATCACCAACGACCTGCTAACCGCCAAAGCCAATGGCCACTATTCTATCCTCCTACTCCTCGACCTCTCTGCGGCCTTCGACACGGTTGACCACCCTCTCCTCCTTGCCAAACTGCACTCTCTTGGCATCAGGGACGCTGCTCTCTCCTGGTTCTCCTCCTATCTTTCCCAACGCTCCTTCAGCGTCACCTACAACACTGCCACCACCCCCTCCCCCCCCTCTCTGTCGGGGTCCCCCAAGGCTCCGTCCTCGGGCCCCTCCTCTTCTCCATCTATACCTCCTCCCTTGGCAAACTAATACACTCCCACGGCTTCAATTACCACCTCTATGCCGACGACACCCAAATTTACCTCTCCACCCCCCACCTCACCCCCTCACTCTCCGCCGTCATCGCCCGCCTCCTAGACGACATAGACTGGATGTCGCTCCATTTCCTCAAACTTAACCTATCCAAAACCGAGCTCCTGGTCTTCCCCCTACCCCGCAGCCCCCCCATCCTCTCCATCACTACTAACAACGCCACCATCTCTCCCACCCCACACGCCAAACTCCTGGGTGTCACCCTGGACTCCCACCTCAACTTCCTACCCCACATTCAACTGCTATCTAGATCTTGCAGGCTCCACCTCCGCAACATCTCCAAGATACGCACATTCCTCACCCCAGACACTACTAAACAACTCGTACACTCCCTCATCATCTCACGCCTGGACTATTGCAATTCCCTTCTCACTGGCCAACCCAAACGAACGCTATCCCCACTCCAGTCTATCCTGAACTCAGCAGCTAGACTCAACCACCTCACCAACCGCTCCACATCTGCCTCCCCCCTCTGCCAATCCCTTTATTGGCTCCCGATTGCCCAACGCATCAAATTCAACTGCTAACTCTGACCTACAAAGCCATCCCGAACTACATAACTGACCTGATACCCAAATACTACCCTACCCATGCCCTCCACTCCTCACAAGACCTCCTACTCTCTAGCTCCCTGGTCTCCTCCTTCCACGCCCGATTGCAGGACTTCTCTAGGACTTACCCCATCCTCTGGAACTCCCTACCCCAATCCATTAGACTGTCACCTACCCTCCTCACCTTCAGGCGCACCCTGAAAACCCTCCTCTTCAGGGAAGCCTACCCCAACCTCACCTAACACCTGACCTCACCTAACAACTAACCTCCTCCACTCCATCCCCCACTCCATCCCCCACAGCCATTTCCTCCTGTACCACCTTCCCTTCCCTCCTAGATTGTAAGCTCGAAAGAGCAGGGCCCTCGAACCCCTCGTGTATTGTATTGTTACTGTCTTGTCTCATGTTCTGTCCCCCTTGTTACTGTACAGCGCTGAGCAAACCCTTTGGCGCTACATAAATACTGTATAATAATAATAATAATAAAATAGTTTGTGAAAGGCAATGCCCAAGGGCCCATAAAATGTGTGACCTACCATTATTTCCCAGCGCTTTCATCATGACTTCCATCTGAGCGTACTCATAGTTAAAATTGACCTCGCTGGACACCTCGCTGGAACTGTCTCCATCTGCATCCAGCTGCTCGAAGCTGCTGCTGTTCCTCATACTGGTGTCCCGCTCCTCTTCGTCCCGCTCTGACTTTTTCTTCTTTGGTAAACTTATCCTTCAGATAGACAGGAGATGATCAGGAAGGACTGGGGGATTACGTACAACAGCCAACAGAAAACTACAGCTAGAGTGGATATACACCGGCAGAGAGCCGAATGAGATACAAATATTAGAATTTATCAAGCGCATAAAATACATCTTCCAGTTCTTTACTTTGCTCCGTATCAGGACATCTCTGCAAGTGAGAGCCCTTCATTAATCTATGCAGTACCAGCAGTGGACCTAAACGGAGACAGGATTATCTGGAGGTTACTCACTCCTCCAAAACATTGCTATGACCAATGTGTAAGCGCAAGTGGAATGGGAAGAGATTTGTCTTTTTTTGTTAAAAATTGTTACGAATTTTAACAATTTTTCATATCAGGGAATTAATTTTTAGTTTTCGGTAGATGTAACTACAGAGTTTAGGCTTTTTATCAACTTCTAGATAGATATGAAAAAGAAAGAAAGGAAAGAAAAAAATTAACTAAGAAAAAAAAAACCCAGGAAAAAAAAAAAAGAGAGAAAAATAACTAAGGAGGAAAAAGAAAAACAGAGTAAAAAAGGAGAAATAAAGATGGAGAAAGAAATATGGAAGAGAAAACCCCCCTGAAAAATAACCAAGGAAAAAATATTCTAAAAAAAAAAGAAAAATATGAATTAAAAAAACAAAAAAAAAAATTACCTAATAAAAAATACCTGGAAAGAAAAAGTAATAACCACAGGAAAACAAAGAAAAAAAAAGGAAATTATTTTTTCAGTAGATGTAACTACAGAGTTTAGGCTTTTATCAAATTCTGGATTGTAAACAAACAAAACAAAAAAACTAAAAGAAAGGAAAAATTACCTAAAAAGGAAAAAAAAAATCTTCAAAATAACCAAGGAAAAAAATATCCTAGGGAAAAAAAAAAACAAAATGAAGAAAAAAAATAGGAATGAAAAACTAAGGAAAAAAATAACTGAGGTAATTAAGGAAAAATAACCATGGAAAAAATAACCTAGGAAAGAAAACAAGAAAAAAAAAAGAAAGAAAAAATAACTCAGGAAAAAAGAAAAAATAACCATGGAAAATATAACCCAGCAGAAAAAAAATACAAAAAAAGAGAAAAGAACTGAAAAAAAAAAAAAATAGCTGAGTAAAAAAAAAGGAAATCTTATAAAGGAAAAAAAATAACTATCATCTAGCCACTTCAGACCATGCACTGAGGTTAAGGAGAAGCGAAATATGATTTTTATTTTAGTTCTCAAGAGAACACGGAAGGATTAGGACTTTCAGTTGGGTGTTTTGGTGTGTGGCTCACCACCTTCCACCACTGACCAATGAGGACAGCAAATGAAACCTTAAAAAGTACAGTGTACACTTTAACCACCTCCCGTCCGGCCGTTGTACATACACGGCCGGACGGTGGCAGTGCAGGGTCGGGAGGCCGTTTATAAACGGCCTCCCCGCCCCCTGCTTGTGTACGCTCCCTGGGAGCTCGCAGCACCACGATCCGATGCCCGCTGTGTCCTCCGGACACAGTGGAACACCGATCGTCAGACGGGACCTCTGTGTGAGGTCCCGATCATGTGATCACTTTTTGGTCAATCAGTGATCACATGCAGAGTAGTAAGCAAGATGTCACTTCTGACATCATTGCTTACTACGTGTGAAATCTGTGAATGATCACAGAGGTCACATGGTACAAGTCTATTCACAACAGCCTTGTACCATGTGACAAGCTGTGACCAATCACAGCTCACACAGTAGTTCTCAATGGCTGCAAGAATGAAGCCAGAGAGAAGGAGAAATTATTGCTTTTACAGCCTTCATGGGTGTAAAAGCAATCAGTGTAAAAAAAAAAAATCTTCATCACCCCCCACAAGTAGTACAGTATCACCATGGTGACACTGTACTGCTAGGGTGACAGTATGTAAAAGAAAAGAAAAAAACAACCAATATAAAAAAAAATGTAAAATAAAATGTTTAAAAATTATAATTTCTGGTTATAAACTAATTTGGTTTTTTTTTTTTTTTTTTACTAAAAAGATAACGGAATACATTTTGGCCAAGATTTATGATGAAATATTATTTATTTGCAAAATTTTTGGACTTTTTCATTTACATAGCAAAAAAAAAAAAAAAATATCCCAGTGGTGAATAAATACTAACAAATAAAGTTTTATCTGTCTTAAAAAAATGCTAAAAAATTCATATGGGTACAGTGTTGCATGACCGTGCAATTGTCATTCAAAGTGTGATAGCGCTGAAAGCTGAAATTTGGCCTGGACAGGAAGGGGTTAAAAGTGTCCGGACTGGAAGTGGTTAAAGTGAACCTAACAGACGCAAACAGAATTCTAAAACTAATACCTGAAAAAGTGATTGTTCCCCCACAGTATCCGGTCCCCGTGCTGGAGCTGTGTGGGGTTAGTGATGGCTGACCCATTGACCAGAGTCCTGCAGCAAAAAAGAAAACAATATTACTGTATTCTTTATGTGTCACAGTTTTGCCCAACACTGCACCAAATGTAGTAAATACACAGCACCCAAATCACGTCAATGTTATACAATGCAACTTATTTTAGAGTACAAAGCCCTACAGTCCTGTTCATAAAGGCTTACCAATGAAGAAGGCTGGAAAAAAAAAAAAGAAAAAAAAAAAAAGAGGGTTTTTATATAATTTTTACCATTGCTAAACACTTGTTTACATTCAGCGGTGCAAGTTGTCATGATCCTGGCCTCCCCTGTGCATTAGTGCCCCTTAGAACTCTATGAGGCAGTGCTCCATGTCCGAAGGCTATGGGTGACAGTCCCATGGAAGTTTATGGGGCTGAAAATCACAGTTGCGGCCAGGACAGTGCAGACTTGTGATGCTGTATGTAAACAAACAGAAGAGCCACGGCCCTTGGAAAGCGGTATATGCATCTGTGGAGTGGAAGGGTAGGTAGGTGAGCTCAGGAGCAAAAATGATAAATGCACTTTGTTTAAAACTGCATTTATCCTTTAGCTTTTTTTCCCTGTTTCCTTTATGTTTTCCATCTCAGAGTTATTATTCTCCTTCAGCCTCTTCCTGTGTACATACACTCGCTCCAGTGTCTGCTACACATCATTGCTCTGGACTGGCTTCCTGAAAGTGACAACAGTTAACCAGGTCTCCAAGGCCACTTGTAGTATCCATCAGAAGCCCTTGCGACCTTGGCTGGGACCAGATAAGGGGCAGCATGGGCGGCTGCTTCAGATACGGTGGTTTACTGTAGGGTTGGGGGCATCGTGCAGACAACTGATTCTGCTTCAAAAGGAGTAGTGGCAGAGGCATCACTACTCCTATCAGCCTAGCGCTGGAGGTGGCCATGAGAGAGCTGGGAGGAGGTGTGGGCTGTGCTCTCTCTCTCCCACAAGATCATTGTGCATGCAAAACCTGACTGACAGTTCCAGAGCTGCATTGTGATGCCAAGACAAGTAGGTGGCTGCTGGGAGTAGGATCCCCTAGACCAGGGGTAGGCAACCTGCGGCTCTCTAGCTGTTGCAGGACTACAAGTTCCATCATGCCTCTGCAAGTCATAGCTGTAACTGTCAGTTTTGTAATGTTGCAATGCCTCATGGGAAATGTAGTTCCACAACAGCTGGAGGGCCACAGGTTGCCTACCCCTCCCCTAGACTAACACATCATTGTGGGAAGGAGGGGGGGGGGGCAGTTTGGCATCTTTGCCCTGGGTGACCTTGTCCAGGAGGTGACAATGCAGGAGGAGCACAACAGGGAATACTCTCACCCTATAACTGGAAGCATCTAAACAAGACATTCAGCAGGATCACTGGGGGTTCATTTTTATTTTTTATTACAGCGACAGATTTTAGATTGAAAACAACTACTGAAATAAATTACACTATTAAAAAAAAAAAAACACAAGAAAATATTATACTGTGTATATGAGTTTATATTAGTCGAGTTTGGTTTAGTTCAAGGTAAATAGTTATTAGTATTTATTAGTTATATAGTTTGAAAAAAAATAAAATGTAGAGTGAACACAGGTGAATGACAGCTAAGAATTCTGATCAAAGGCTGGTGTGGAGAAAGGAGTTAGAGATTGATTTATCAGTTGCGGACACTGGACGTACCACACATGGCCAAAACACTTTCATCGAAGTACACAGGGCATGTGTAGTATGTCCTTTCCCTCTGCTCCATTGCTGCTTCCCCCCTTGCATTAGCCTGCAATTGCCAACTGCTATCAAAAATAGACTGACACAGGTTTATAAACACTGTTCAGAGGTTTCATCTCCTCTTCGGGTGGAAGCGCTCAGCTCTGAACACTTCCAAAATCCTGGCTGCAAAGCCAGGTTACTAGCAGATCAAGTCCAACACAACAAACACTTTACTCCTGCGCTAGGAAAGGACTCAGTAGACCCAATAGGAATGTTCTGGAATATGCACTGCTTGCTGCCCTCAACAGACCGGGGTGGTCCGAATACACTGGATACAAATGGAGAAACAGAAAAAGGGGCGCACCGACCTAGTGCATTATCGTTTAAAATAATTTATTAAAGAAACAAAAATAGGTATCATACTCACAATGGACATAATACATAGGCATGTCAAACTGAACAAGATGTATGATCCAAACAACATGAAAAACAGAAAAAGGGCGCACCGACCTAGTGCATTATCGTTTAAAATAATTTATTAAAGAAACAAAAATAGGTATCATACTCACAATGGACATAATAACACAGGCATGTCAAACTGAACAAGATGTATGATCCAAACAACATCTGAGTCCATACGATGGAACCCTGGATGACCAACTGGTTAACGCGTTTCGAGGACACCTCTTCCTCAGAGCCAACACTACAGGAGTCTGCACTTCTCTCTATATAAGTTACTAAATGGTAACAAAAGGGCTGTATCAGAACCACCTGAAGGCGGAGCCTGACATCACATGACCCGTTAGCGTCAAAACAAAAAAAACAAAAAACATTTGATGCTAATGGGTCAAGAGATGTCAGGCTCCGCCTTCAGGTGGTTCTGATACAGCCCTTTTGTTACCATTTAGTAACTTATCTAAAGAGAAGTGCAGACTCCTGTAGTGTTGGCTCTGAGGAAGAGGTTGTGTCCTCGAAACGCGTTAGCCAGTTGGTCATCCAGGGTTCCATCGTATGGACTCAGATGTTGTTTGGATCATACATCTTGTTCAGTTTGACATGCCTGTGTTATTATGTCCATTGTGAGTATGATACCTATTTTTGTTTCTTTAATAAATTATTTTAAACGATAATGCACTAGGTCGGTGCGCCCTTTTTCTGTTTCTCCATTTGTACCAGCAGATCAAGCACAGACCTGTGTTTGATCTGCTGCCACAGAGGCAGGGGATAAACTGGAAGGAACAGTGTTGCATGACAGCGCAATTGTCAATTGGCCTGGACAGGAAGGGGGTAAAAGTGTCCGTACTTGAAGCGGTTAATACAAGAGAGGATTTTGCTCGCTTTAGAAACTGCAGCTTGGCATTGCATGCCAATATTAAGCTTGTGATCTACCAGAACCCCCAGATCCTTCCCCACCATTGATTCCCCCAGTTGTACCCCCCCTAGTATGTATGATGCATGTAGACGATCCCTGGAAACTTTACAAAAGCCTATCCTGCTTCTAAATAATTCATTGTCTATTTGCTTTCTCCATCAGCTCATTCCCCAAAATTATTACCTTCTGTATCACTTGGCCCTCCCTCCTAAATTGTAAGCTGTAAGGAATAGGGCCCTCTGATTCCTCTTGTACTGAATTGTATCTGTACTGTCTGCCTTCATTTTGTAAATCACTACATAAATCCTGTATAATAATAAAATAATGAGCTGTAAATGCATTTAAAGCATCACCTTTTCATAATTTTGGGTACAGAAATTTTTTGCCATTTCCCAGGCAAATGCAGTTAAATTTGGTATCTAGCTACTCAACACAACCTCATCTATTTTTTTTGTACAACTGGGGATAAAATTGTGTTTGTGTGTGATAAAATGTATTTCCGAGATTTGATATACAGTTGAATAAATATAGTGCAACGTAACAAATTGCAACTACCATCCTTATTCTACAATGTCTCTGCATTCAGAAAATATAGAATGCAATTTTTAAATGATGATTTGATCATTTTAAATGATGAATGAATGAACTGTGATTAGCCACATTTTTTGGAAAGTGGAGTTAAATTTCACTTGCCACAGCCAGGCCTGATTACTGCCAGACCTGTTGAATCAAGAAATCACTTACATAGAAGCTGTCTGACAATGTGAAGAATGCTAAAAGATCTCAAAAAGCAACATATCATACTGCAATCTAAAGATATTCAAGAACAGATGAGAAACAAAGTAATTTTCATGTATCAGTCAGGAAAGGGTTACAAAGCCATTTCTAAGGCTTTGGGACTCCAACAAAACCTCATCGTGAGCCATTTTCCACAAATAGAGAAAGCTTGGAACAGTGGTGAACCTTCCAAGGAGTAGCCGGCCTGTCAAAGTTACTCCAGTAGCACGACGACGACTCATCCAGGAGGTCATAAAAGAACCCAAATATCATCTAAAAATTACTGCAGGCCTCACTTGCCTCAGTTAAGGCCAGTGTTCGTCAGTCAATAATAAGACAGAGACTGGGCAAAAATGGCATCCATGGCAGAGTTCCAAGGTGAAAGCCACTGCTGACCAAAAAGAACACAAAGGCTCGTCTCAAATTTGTCAAAAAACATCTTGAATATCCCCAAGACGTTTGGGCAAATATTCTGTGAACTGATGAGACAAAAGCTAAACTATTTGGAAGGTGTGCGTCCCGTCACATCTGGTGTAAAACTAACACAGAATTTCATAAAAAGAACGTCATACCAACAGTCAAACATGGTGGTGGTAGTGTGATGGTCTGGGCCTGCTTTGCAGCTTCAAGACCTGGACAACTTGCCATCATTGATGCAACCATGAATTCTGTGCTCTACCAGAAAAGAATGTCTGGCCATTAGCTTGTGACTTCAAGCTCATTCACACTTGGGATATGCAGCAGGACAATGATCCGAAACACACCAGCAATTCCACCTCTGAATGACTAAACAAAAAAACAAAATGAAGGTTTTGGAGTGGCCTAGTCAAAGTCTGGACTTAAATCCAACTGAGATACTGTGACATGACCTTAAACAGGCCGTTCACGCTGGAAAACCCTCTGCATGTGGATGAATAAAAAGAATTCTGCAAAGAAGAGTGGGCCAAAATTCCTCCACAGCGAGGTGTAAGACTCATTGCCAGTTATCGCAAATGCTCGATTGCAGTTGTTGCCATCAAAAAGTGGCACAACTAGTTATTAGGTTCAAGGAGCAATCACTTTTTCACAGCAGGCAGGCAGGTTTGGACAGCTTTTGACAGCTTTTTTCCTTAACCTCCTTAGCGGTATTCCCGAGTTTAGCGGGGTAAAATGTCAGTACCAAAAA